TGACTTGGCAATGAAGACAGGGAAAAAAAAGGCACCCCTGAATACTTCTCATCAACCTCTTATAAGAATGAAAGGGCTGGGCAAATTTATATATGATACTTTAGAACATTTTTGGCAAACTGATAAATATAAGATTGGCTTGTTGCTCCTAGTGTTACTGGACAAAGTAGGGAAAGAAGATGAAAGGAATTTAAATTCCCAACTTGTGTGCCCTACAGATGATCTGAAAGCTTCTATGTGTGCTCTGAAAAAGATCCTTCTCTCCTGCAATCACAGGACTGAAATTGCTAAAAATCAAACCCAGGATCCTACCCTGTGACCAGCTGAATGACAATGCTAATCCATCTCAGAGCCTCTTGGGATGTCTCCTGTTAAAGCTGCTCTGAAGATTCAATTAGATAACTCAAAAAAACCTTGTGGCAAAGTTTCTGGTATACAGTAAATACTCAATAAGCATTTTGGTCTGTATTTTTTCTATATAGATGGCTTATTTTCAGCTCCCTTCCAATTGGGAAGATGGAGGTGACTCTACTCAACATCAGAGGTTTCACTTCTCCCCACTATTGCATCATCACAAGGAAAATGTAATACAATCTCCTCCAGCAGCAATACATGGGCCTTGGGACTTCCCTGGCAGTCCAGTGGTTAAGACTTCACCGTCCAATGCAGGAGGCGTGGGTTAGTTCTATCCCTGGTTGGGCAGCTAAGATCCCACATGCCTTGACGCCAAAAAAACAGAATATAAAGCAGAAGCAATATTGTAACAAATTCAATAGAAACTTTAAAATTAGTCCAAATCAAAAAAAAAAACTTTAAAAAAGAATAAAACACAATCCATGCCTCTCAGGTTATGCATATTATATAATCTTATGAAACTTTAAAAGTCTAATAAATGTCATAAAATTCAAGATGGTTATTAATTTTTAATTCATCTTGCAATATTTTCATTTAAAAAATTAGGTTGTGCCGTTTGTTCTTCTACAATGCCTCAGGCCAGATCCAAAAGAGGGTTGGCTGCCAAGAGGGAGAAATATTTGTGACCATGATCGTCTTTAGTAGCAAAGAACAGAAAAGCCAAAGTAAATGGCTTAAACAAATAAGACAGTGTATTGAGTCTATTAACAAGAAATACAAAGATTGAACAAGTATGGCAACAACATAATTAGAGCTCCAGTATTTCTCTGCAACTCATTTGGCTCAGACCTTGGGTGTTGGCTTTGTCCTCAGACCAACTCCCCTCATGGTCTCAGGATATCATCCACCTTAAGATACAACATCCAAATGGAAAACTTCCCTCCAAATTCCAAAGATGTCTCTTTCAGGCAATCTCCATTCTCTTCAGATGTCTCTGACATCTCATTGGCCAGAATTATGCCACATTCTGTGCCTTACACAAATCACTGGATGAGGGAAAAAAGACTACCATGATTGGTCTACACCAATCACCACTCACCTGTGGGGGATGGAGTAAGTCCAGAATCACAGAAGCACCGGGACACATGTGGGTACAATTAAAAAGGAGAAAGGTTATGCAACAAGCCTGTAAGCAGCAGAGATTTTTAAACTGATTAAACTTTCTACCAAAAGCAATAGAAATCTGTGAAAACCACATACAAAGGCTGAGAGGAAAATACCTAGTCAAGGTTAAGACACAACAAAGAAACAGTGAAATGGGAAGCCTTAGAGATAAAGAAAATCCAGAGACTAAGAGGCTGCCAGTTTCCAGCATTATAAATTATTTGTGTTCAAGGGCACATAAATCTTTGTCTTTGGGATAGACTGTCTAAACACCTTAGAAAGGGAATGTGATAGAGTGAATGTTAGTAGGATTCATATATACTGATGAGAAGTATTCTACAAATGTTTAAACTAGAAATACTTCTGCAGTCAGCCAAAGGACACAGACAAAGAAGGCAATGCTAAGAGAGTCAAAATGTCTGAACAGGTTAATTGAGGGGTAATCTTTGCCCATTAGTTACAGAAAATACTTGAAATGCATCAGAAATGAGAAGAGCACATCTCCCCCAACCAAATTTTCACTTGTTATTGAAATAATTAGGGGAGATAGTGAAAGCAGGCGGGGCAAACTCTGCTGATTGGCAACTGAATAGCCCTTCCTAATAATGGATCTTATTTTTGTTCACAGTCTACTAAATGGACATGGTTTTCTATGGATGCTGGCCCATCGCTGTACCTCTGGGTTAGTCTTGATTGTCTAAGTATAGTGGTCTCATCTCCCTCACCTGTGATCACTTTAGGCATGAACATGTGATACAGGTTCAGCCCAAGGGGTACCAAGCAAAATAAATTAAAATACTAATAATAAGCCCACCCCTAGTCATATCCTGATGGAATTTCAGAACACTAAGAACAAAGAGAAAATTGTAAGAAATTTTCAGAAAAAGAAGAAAAAAAGTCCCACAAAGTAGCAAGAATCAGATTTCTCATTGGCAACGATGGATGCCAGAATAAAAAGACTAAAGAGAAAAACAAATATTGTGTAATATCGTGTACATGTGGAGTCTAGAAAAATGGTACAGATGAACTTATTTGCAAAGCAGAGAGTCACAGATATAGAGAACCAACTCATGGTTACCAAGCGGGGAAGGAGGAGGGGGATGAATTAGGAGATTGGGATTGACCTTCATACACTACTATGTATAAAATATCAATAGACAACTAATGAGAACCAACTGTATAGCAGAGGGAACTCTACTCAATGCTCTATGGTGACCTAAATGGGAAGAAAATCTAAAAAAGAAGGGATATATGTGTATATACATGTAACTGATCCATTTTGCTATATAGCAGAAACTAATACAGCATTGTAATGCAACTACACTCCAATGAAAATTAATTTAAAATAATTATTACTGATTGCAAAAAATTAATCTGAAATTAATGAGGTATATCATGGAGAAAAGATGTATGGCATGCTAAAGTGCTTGTCTGTTGGGCAGAAAAATAAATATACCAATTGTATCTTATTTTTTAACTTTTATTATTAAAAATTTGCAAGCATACAAAAAGTAGAGAAAACAAACCTCAGTATATGCATCATCTAGATATAATAATTTCTCACATTTTCCATATGCCTGAGGTATTTTAAAATGATTCCCAGATATTGTGACTCTTCACCTCTAAATTTTTCTTATCCATCTCTAAAAAGTTACTTTTATACATAACCCCAATACCATTCTGACACCTAACAAGATAACGATTTCATAGTATTGTTTACTATCCAGTCATATTCATATTTCTCTAGTTACCCCTCAAAAATATTTTTACAGTTATTTTGTTAAAACCCGTCCCACACACAGCATTTGGTTGATATGCCTCTCAAGTCCCTTTTAATTGTGAATAATTCCCCAGCTCACTCCAATGCAAAAAGAAAAACAAAATCCTACAAAGTGAAAAATTCCAAAAATTTCCATGCAATTAACTTATGAAAAGAGACCAGGTCAGTTGGTAATTAACTTGTGAAGAGACAAGATCATAGAATGATAGACAATCTATGGCTGTCTCCTTGTAGTACCATTTATCTTTTTCACTAGCTACCACATTAGTAAGAAGTTTGATCTAAGGACTGGATTTAAAGCTTGACATTAAAACTTCAAGCTTAATAGTGTTGTTAGAAGAGTTCTAAGAAGTGCTGGGCACTCCACATTACATCTCATCATGAAACATGTTATTTCAAGTTGACCATTTTTAGAGACACTAAGTTTGATCAGTGGGTTCTGAGGGTGACAATCTGACCCCTCCAATACAAAGTGAGATTCCCTTTTAAAGAACAAGTTAACTACAGGATGATACTTGGTAAAAGTACTCTTGGGTTTAAGGGAGGGGCAGGGAGTAAATCACAAACTACTTAGACATTAACAAAATGAGAACACTGTATATCAAAAAGCCAGAAAAACACAAATATGACAGAAAGAATAAACTTATTTCAAAGAAGCACAAATTGATGAATCAGGGAAAATTAGATTTGACCCATAAACAACCCAACAGCTGTTCTAGGAAAAGATCAATAAAATAGACAAATATTTAGCAAGTTGGATTCAAAGTAAAAGGCGAAAGCATGCAAATAAAACGACAGTTGATATGTTAAAAAGAGAGAGAGAGAGAGAGAGAGAAATGTGTTCCAGAAAATAGAGATGAAATTCTTAGAAAATATAAATGACTAGGTTAGTGCCAAAAAATTTTTTAATTTTAAAACCCAAACTAGTCAAGATGAGAAACTGATCTAGTAGAATTAGATGAATAAGAAAAATTAGTGTATCAATGAATACAATTCACCATATTAACAGATAGAAGGAGAAAAGGATTATGGAAATGATAATAGCTAACTCTGATACTAAAATCACTATGTGCCAGGCACTCCTGTAATCACTTTAAATATAACTCATTTAGTCACTAAATGCTCCAGAAGCACATAAGCATTTAATCCCACTCCTGTTTAAAATTTTTAAACAAAATACATTTTAGGAAGAAAAAGAAACATCCTATTGCCCCCCCCCCCCCAAAAAGAGTTAAGATATCTACTGGAAATCCATAGCAAGCACTAAACCTGATGGTGGTATCAGAACTTTTCAAATCAAATGTCAAATTCAACTCAAAATAGTTTAAACAGAATATGACTTCACAAGGGACTTCAGAGTTCCAAGAAATTCATCTAGATTGGCAATACCCGGATCCAAGGTCTCCCCAGTCAGGATACAAAAGGTTATTCAATGTTCAAGGGCATCAAAATTTTGAAGGAGCAACGTACCCTGGTGCATATCAACTAGATTCAATTTACAAAAATTTACAAAGCACATACAATTTTATCAGAAATATTTCAGATGCATCTGATTCTTTGATTTTGTCCAATTTCCTTCCAGTTGACTCAAGATGACTGTGAATCTAGAGAAATCAAGAGAGCCCCTTCCCTCACCCATAGCCCTCCCTGATTCTTCTTCCTTTTTTTTTTTTTTCCTGGTCTCCCCACCCCATCATCCCCCTTAGAGTGTGCTTCTGCCCAAAACAAGGTGTTGCCTGAAGAATTTCAGGATCTCTTGCCAGGAGTGCTCCTGGGCCGCAGCGTGGCCCTCAGGCTCCCCGCCCCAGAGCATGGGGAGGAAGAGGCCGCGGCTCCAGGACATATAGCACAAGGGCCCGTAGTGTGGCTCAAGCAGGTGGCCCGCCCCAGGGTAGGCCAGCATCCTTCCGCTGCTTTTCCCGTGCCTCCGCAGCTGGTCCAGCGCCTGCTCAGCGTATTCTTTGCTATTGAAGCATTCGTCAGCCTCGCCTACAACGAAGAGGATTGGGCCCCGGGCCTTTTCAACAGGAAGCACACTGTGTTGATTCCGTTCATCTCCGGGGTCGCCCTTGAAGTGGCGGATGCGCACAGCGCCCTCGACCTTGACCTGCATGCGCTCTGGGTGCGAGGGGATGGGGGCCATGACCAGACCCCTGTACCTGAGCGGAAATTCATGGATGGCGTTGGTCCCATTGATGCAGACAGTGGCTGCCACCTGCTTGAGGTAGCAGGCCATGGCCAGCCCGATCTCTGCACCTTTGCTCACAGATATCACTCCAATTCCCGGCTTTTGGACCTGAAGGACAAAATGAAGGGAGCCCATTAAAGGCCATTCTCTGAGAAGGAGCTGTCCTACCGGCCAGTAAGCTGGGATGACAGGGAGAGTCAGGAAATGGGGAGTGGGAGTCCTGGCACTAGGGCTTACCAGCTGCTGAGACCAAGAGAGATCATCATCTACTTACACTCCCTAAGCCTTAGTGTCTTATGGGGGGAGAGGGGCGGGTCATAATATTACCTACCTTGCACAACTGTTATGAAGATCAAGTAAAACAATAGACACTAAAATTGCTCATCAAAAGCAGAGTTCTATATAAAGCAAAAAGGGTCTAATGTACCAGCAACATTCAAGCAGAGGCAGGTAAACATTCTGAAGAATCAAAGTCTTCTCTCCAGCTAGAAAAGGAGGTGTCCTGGGTTCTTTCAACTACTAGGTAAGTGTAATTCCTATTTAAATGGCATTTTACAGCTACAGAGGATTTGCATATTGGTTAACCTAAAGGCTAATCCTGGAAGCATTGGGAGGGTAAAGATGAAAGACTCAGATTCTATAAACTGGATTTCAGTACCCAGTCCAGTAGGCAAAGCAGGGGTCACAAGAGGGAGTCCTTAATTTTGTGCTGGGCTGAGGGAGCAGTGGGAAGTGAAGAAGTGTGAGAGAAGAATGAAGAAAGGAAGGGCAATCTGGATGAACAATGGCAAATACATAGTAACCCTGTGTATTTACTTTGCTCACAGTTGTATCCCCCACACCTTTCTATCATCAGAATTACCTGGGGCGGGGGGGGGGGGGACTTTAAAATCAGAACTTTCTGAGATCCAGTTTTTTTGAGAGCTAATTTAATAGGTCTGAGTGGCCCCAAGAATCTGGTACTATAAACTATGGCCAAGGAAATCCAGTGTGCAACCACATCTGGGAACAATCCACGTGGAGTGGGAAAGGAGGGCTGTAGCTGACTGATGCACTGTTGCAGAATAACAGGTGAGCAGCAATGAGGGAATGGACTAGAACATCAGCCAAGAGGGAGAAGAGGCCGTAATGTATTGAGAAACAACCTAAAGCACTTTGGGATGGATTGAGGGTATGGGAAAAGAAAGAGGGAAGAAGCCAGACGGGCACAAGTGATGAGGTGTATTTATTGAGCATTTACTATATGCGAGTCCCTCCATAAGTGCTTTACACATGTCATCTCATTCCTCCCAAGAAAATGGAGATTCAGAAAGTTTAAGTCTTGCTCAAGGTTATGACAGTATCAAGGGGCAGAGGTGGAAATTGAACCTCTTCTGCTGAATTTAACCACAAATTGAATTTTGGCAATTGCCCTTTCTCCTCATAAAGTGTCACAAATAGTTAAATCTTGAAATGAGAAAACAAAAAAATCAGTTGAAAACATTTTATCTGGGATTTAATTCCTTCTAGGCAATCCTTTAAAAAGAGCCAAAATATGCTTAGAAAAAGTCATACATCTATTTGATTATAATGATGATAACACAAAATGGGAGTACTGGTGATGCTCCAATAGGAAACATATCCTGACTCTTCTTGAGAAGAGTCAAGGCTCTCCCAGGGGAGAAAGATACAATTCAGGGAGCCAGAATGACAATGGTTTGGAGCAAAGACATTGCCTGAAGGCTCTGTCACTAACTGGCTGTGTAGTTTTGGCGTCTTACTCAACTGAGATGGGTAGGCCTTCTCATCTGAAAGATGAGGACCATGTCAAAAGTACTTTCATCTGGTAATTATGAGCATTAAATAAAAGGGTACATATAAAGTATATAGCATAGAGTCTAACAAATAATCACTTAATAAAAATTAGGTGATATGATTGTTCTACCACGTCAGGTTGAACTGTTCTGTTCAGTTCAGTTCAGTCGCTCAGTTGTGTCCGACTCTTTGTGACCCCATGAATCGCAGCACGCCAGGCCTCCCTGTCCATCACCAACTCCCAGAGTCCACTGAAACCCATGTCCATTGAGTCGGTGATGCCATCCAATCATCTCATCCTCTGTTGCCCCCTTCTCCTCCTGCCCTCAATCTTTCCAAGCATCAGGGTCTTTTCAAATGAGTCAGCTCTTCGCATCAGGTGGCCAAAGTATTGCAGTTTCAGCTTCAACATCAGTTCTTTCAATGAGCACCCAGGACTGCTCTCCTTTAGGATGGACTGGTTGGATCTCCTTGCAGTCCAAGGGACTCTCAAGAGTCTTCTCCAACACCACAGTTCAAAAGCATCAATTCTTCTGTGCTCAGCTTTCTTTAGAGTCCAACTCTCACATCCATACATGACCACTGGAAAAACCATAGCCTCGACTAGACAGAACTTTGTTGGCAAAGTAATGTCTCTGCTTTTTAATATGCTGTCTAGGTTGGTCATAACTTTCCTTCCAAGGAGTAAGTGTCTTTTAATTTCATGGCTGCAGTCACCATCTGCAGTGATTTTGGAGCCCAGAAAAATAAAGTCCACCACTGTTTCCCCATCTATTTCCCATGAAGTGATGGGACCAGATGCCATGATCTTAGTTTTCTGAATGTTGAACTTTAAGCCAACTTTTTCACTCTCCTCTTTCACTTTCATCAAGAGACTCTTTAGTTCTTCTTCACTTTCTGCCATAAGGGTGGTGTCATCTGCATATCTGAGGTTATTGATATTTCTCCCGGCAATCTTGATTCCAGCTTGTGCTTCATCCAGCCCAGCGTTTCTCATGATGTACTCTGCATATAAGTTAAATGAGCAGGGTGACAATATACAGCCTTGATGTACTCCCTTTCCTATTTTGAACCAGTCTGTTGTTCCATGTCCAGTTCTAACCTTTGCATACAGATTTCTCAAGCGGCAGGTCAGGTGGTCTGGTATTCCCATCTCTATCAGAATTTTCTATAGTTTATTATGATCGATACAGTCAAAGGCTTTGGCATAGTCAATAAAGCAGAAGTAGATTTTTTTTGGAACTCTCTTGCTTTTTCAATGATCCAGCAGAGGTTAACAATTTGCTCTCTGGTTCCTCTGCCTTTTCTAAAACCAGCTTGAACATCTGGAAATTCACAGTTCACGTATAGCTGAAGCCTGGCTTGGAGAATTTTGAGCATTACTTTACTAGCATGTGAGATGAGTGCAATTGTGCAGTAGTTTGAGCATTCTTTGGCATTGCTTTTATTTGGGATTGGAATGAAAACTGACCTTTTCCAGTCCTGTGGCCACTGCTGAGTTTTCCAAATTTGCTGACATCAAATGCAGCACTTTCAAGAAATACCTAATATATAAACCTTTTTGAACTAGAAAATGAAGAGGATCATAATATACCCAATATTTATTGTCTTCTCTGTGCCAGTAAGCATTAAGCTGATCCTAATCAACCCAGCAATCCTACAGGGTTGATATTATTATCCCCAATTTTAACTCAAGTGTGCTGTGCCCCAGTCTAAACAGACTGGTAACATAGGCAAAACAGACATTTGTGAGATACATATATATATATATATATATATTTGCTATAATATTGCCAGGTAAAATGAAAAGTATTTTAAGTACCTTGGGATGAGCTAGTAGCAAGTTGGCAGCCTCCTCAAAATATTCCAGGTCCACCTCCTCCAGCTGATTGGGCAGGTCATCATAGGCAAAATATGCTAAAGCCAGCACTGCAAAGCCACGGGCAGCCAAAAGACTGGCCCGATATTCAACAAGACCCCCGACGCCCCCTAACAAATCAAGGAGTCCTGGGAATGGGCCTTCCCCTAAGAGCAGCAAAAAGAGAAGAAAATGAGATCAGAAAGAGTGTCAGAAGGGCTGAGTAGATAACAGCAAAAGTACAAGCTGAGCAGAATGAATTTCATTTTGATACACAACAAAACGGCTTGTTCCTTTTAAAAGATGGTGGGAAATCCCAGTTAAACAGCTAGATGCCTTTGTTTTTGCTTTTATCCCCACCAGCCGTGTTTTCTAGGTCCCCCGAGTCTCACCTGGAGGCAGGAACAGGGCTCCCCTCACTCGACCTTCTCGGATGGGCACCCGCTCCAGGTCAGGGCTGGAGAACCAGCGCTGCAGCACCTGGCTGGCCTTGGGCTGAACGTCGCCTACCTTGTGTATGTAAACTGAGTCATATAGATCCAGAGTGATCCAGAAGGGTGTGTTCATCACATCCCTCTTAATTAGCCTGGCAAAAGGCCTCTCGGATTGCAGGGACCAGATAAGGCCCATCGGATGGACCCCCATGTAGTGGCCTCCCACGGCAGGATCTCGCTTCAGGTCCAGTTCCCCAGCCTCGTTAGCCTTGTAGAAAGCTCGGGACCGGTATAGATTCCCCTTGTCATCCTTCATGGTTGCTATGAGGGTCACCATCTGCAGTGGGGGCAGGCCCGTTGCTTGGATGTGCACAGGCTCATCCGCCAGGGCACTTGCCGGAGTGACTGTCAGCTGGAACATTGGCAACAGGCAAAGGGACCAAGTGGTGTTTCCTGCAGTGGGAGAGAAGACTTTTGAGTTGGAGATTTTGGTTCCAAGGAAGAGGCTCAGACAAGGCTTACACTGGCCCAGACTTCTGGAGATTAGTACAAAATACACAGAACATTTGGAGGAGGGAAAAATAAAGTGTGCAGAGCATACTCATTATTCTCATTTTACATATGAGTAAGGTTAAGTGGCATGCCCAAGTGTAAATAATTAATAGGAGAACTGGAAATTCAAGCTAGGTCTTAACACTACAGCCTCCTGTCTTAGCCATTACAGAACTGAAGGAAATCTTAGTTTTGTGGTTTTGAGTAAATTGAGCTTCAGTTCTTCAGCTGAGGTCATTCCCAGGTGACGTGTTTCACAGGTGTTTGTTAGGCTCCAAGGGGTAAAGCATGATCAAGGGTTTCCTGGAAGGATCAGGGCTGCTTTTCTTTTCTTTCTTTATTTTTTTTTTTCAGTGCTGCTTTTCAATTCCCATATCTACATAAACAAGAAATATGTTAGAGTATTATTTGTTTTTCACTTTTTCAAATTTCCAATCCCTCTCTGCCATTGTAAGACCAACCACCAGCTCTTTTCAGAGTTCCCATTATTTGTTCTTTTTCAGGGAAAATAAAATTTCATGATCTGCTTCTATGGCTTTCCAGTGGAGTGGTAAATATCAAATGTTGTTTGTAGCAAAGAGAATGAAATATACATTTGGTCAGCTATTTCATACTCTGCCCTTTTATGAGCAAAATTGGGGTATTCTGCTCCCTCACTCTCTTCCTTCTTTCTTTCTCTCCTTTCTTATATACCTCATTCACAAAGGATTTGAACCTGTTTATAGGTAACAGAGACATAATAAAATAAAAATAGGATCTGGGAAAATATGAACTAGAATCAGAAACACTGAATGAATGACAACCAAAGGGAAAAAGGCACCTGTCAGTCGTGTTGTTCTAATTATTCTCATAGAAAGGGTTACCAGTTTATCAACAGAAAGGAAAAAGTGAGGCCTTTCCAATATCTTCCTAAAAGAAATTTCTCACATGAGACTTTGATATAGATATGCATAATTTTCCAACAGTATCTTCAGACAAATTGTAGTAATAGGTGTCCCCTCAGAAAGTTTGATCCTCTAAGGGATCCTTGATTTTATTTTATGGAGGAATGCAAAGTGAGGGCTTTAGGCTTTATATTTGTGACCAGAAAAGATTCTGGAGAAAATAAACAGGGTCTGGCAGTGCAGGGTCGGGAGAGGGGTCTTAATGGTCAGTTTTTCACTGTTGAAAGGGGATATTCAGAGGAAAGAGAGGGTCAAGGAAAAAAAATGCATTTTGCGCTTCTTTTACGAAAAAGTGATTTCCTGGAAAGTCCCTGGTGGTCCAGTGGTTAGAACTCCACTCTCTCAATGCCAAAGGTCTGGGTTCCATCCCTGGTTGGGGAACTAAAATTCCACAAACTTCTCAGCACAGCCAAAAATTTAAAAAGCAAAACAATTTTTAAAAGAAAATAATTTTCCGCAAAGGACACACTCCCTCTCACCTGTTTCCCCATCAACAACCAGTATTACTGACCATTTGAAAACTCATGATCAATAGAATAATTTGGAATAAATAGAAAGATTGTGAATGTTTTCCTTTAATACCAGCAGAGTTCTACACAGAAGGAGGTTGCATCAATTCAAACCTCCTGGGTCTTTCAGTCATCTTAGGGAGACAGAACATGTAATATGAATAAGAACACCCCATATCCTGTGTGACATTTCAGGGCTCCCTTGGTATTTTCTGATCTGGTCCTTCCTATAACTCTTTGTATCTGCTATTTCTTTCTTCCCAAAAAAGAAATCATTAAGAAGGGGTACTTGAGAGCCTTATTCCACACATTCTTCTTCCTTCTCAAAACTTCCGTATAATAGTGACTCACTACAGATTTTATTTTCAAATAGAATCATTTGAATTACTTAACATAACTACTCTCCTGCATGCATTCTGCATCTGGTCTCATTCTCCCAGGTGGATTGCAAACTCAAGGGTAGCAACCATGTGTTAAAACTTTAGGAAATCTTACTGATACTCATATAGTAAATTATATATTGTACATACTTCAAAGTTATGAAATTCATAATGGGAGCAAGAAAAAAAAATAGCACCAAACAAGTAATGAAGATACTCTACTTATATAGTGCTTTTGTAATGTAAAATATTAGAGTTTCTTTACAAGTCATGGTCTCTCTTTATCTGAGAATTGCCCCCTAAGCCCAGAGATGGACAATCCATAGCTATGTTTATACAATATGACCTCCTTCCTGGGGGCTGTTGCTGACTGGATCAGGACTGGTCACCTGATTCAAGATATGCCTGGAATGTTCCTCCCTTGCCAATTTGGAATTGGGACTCAGAGCTCACCAGTCCCTTTATCAAGATAAAGACTAAAGGTGAAGCAGAGGTAGCAAAGTTGGGTACCAACTTTGGTAGCAGAGTTGACTTGCGTGGCCTTGCCTTTGACATCCTGAAATTTTGCACCCAAGGTGCCCTCTTACCTCATGCTAGTCCTGTCCCTGGACTCTTTCTGTGTGAGTGTATCCATAAAGTGCAGACACTGCATCCAGATTATCACAGAAAACCAGCCTTGGGGTAGAGTATGGACATTTGAGGAAAGAGAGACAGAGACAGAAATTAGTTTTTTCCTATCCTGAGAAGCCCCTGAAGAAAGAAGGTCTGCAATTACAGAAATAAGTGTCAGAGGAAAGAGAGATGCCAGAAGATAGGTTTCAGAAGATTTCAGTCTTTGAAAGGAATCTTTCTTAGAATTTTGTTTTGGGGTCTCAGGACTTAGCTGACTAGGCTTACTGTTTTATCTCCTAGTTTTTTTGGAGCTCCTGTTAAATGTGTAAAGTCATTGATTCTGAATTGTCAGAAATTCCCTGTAATGGTCCTTAGTATTCTAGGTCTAGATTTTGCCATTTACACCAAGGTATATGCAAGGGATTAGATTATAATGATAGTTCCCGTAAGAAGTAGGAATTCTCCCAAGAACACATGAAATAGAGAGAGAGAGAGATCACTCGGTAAGTCAACAATGTGTGCTTGTGAATGGTGTCTCTGATTTCTTGGCCACCCACAGAGTAGGAAGTAGCCACGTGATCAGCAATCCCACAGTCACCGCCTTTGGAACGTGGGCTAAACAAAGTCACCTTTCACAGGCTGATGAGGCAGATCTTGGGAAGATCTGGTAGGGATCCAAGGCAAAGTTTGACAGATTTCCTTTGCAGAACTTAGTTGTAAACCTCTCGGACCTCAGATTAATCAAACCTCTGTGTCATCTGTTCTTTATATAACACTCTCTTATAAATTCAAGAAACAAGAAAAATCCAAGATTTAAATATTGGGTTGGCAAAAAAGTTCATTTGGGTTTTCCTTAATATCTTACAGAAAACCCAGAATGAAAATTTTGGTCCACCCAATACATACACATGTATACACACACACACACGCACACACACACACACACTTACAAAAGAAGATTTGGGATTCTCAAATCTGGGGTTCTGAGGAACTCTGAGGTTCTGCAGAATGTCATTAGGGTTTCCACAAGAGCTCTTAATTGGAAAAAAAGAGAAACAGTTGGTTGTCTTTTTTTCCATTTATTTATTAGTTGGAGGCTAATTACTTTACAATATTGTAGTGGTTTTTGCCATACACTGACATGAATCAGCCATGGATTTACATGTGTTTTTGAACTCTAAGTATGAGGTGAAGGACGGGGCTAAGCAGTTCCATTCCTGGTTGTTTAGCCCCATAGGGTACTGTGTGAAAGGACCATAGCCAGAGACCATTCTCAGTTTGAGATGCAATTAGCAGGGGCTTGTGAAGGCTAGTGAGCTCAGTGTTTAGTGGAGAGGAGGACACTGTGCTGATGAGTGCCTCTCCTCCTTGAATTACCTCCTCCAAACCCCACTCTGCTCTGTGGACTGAGATAAAGAAGAAAACAAAGTCTATTGGTGTAATATAGAGGGAAATTTGCTGGTAATACAAGTGGTCCTGTTTCACTGGGCATGATCTTTAACAGCTAAAAAACGCAGCAGTGACTCCAGGAAAGGGGAAAAGACAAATCGAATATCACAATTATTTGACAAGTAATGGGGCTGGTTATTTTAAGTGGCCTTTGGAATTCAATTCTCCCTTCATTTCCCTTTTTTCTGTAATAGGAAACAATTACTGAGCACTTACTAAAGGCTTGTCACTGGGTAGTAGGAATCTGCATAGTAAAGCCTTTTCACTTTTCAAGACCCTTTTATGTTTATTATTTCTCTTGACCCTCACAAAAAAATCTATGGGAATAAAAAAAAAATCATTATTATCCTTAAACTGTAAATTAGAAAATTGAGCTCAGCTAGTTAAATGACTTACCCAAACTTGCCTATGTTGTTAATGGTGAAGTAAGAATTTTAACCAGTGCCATCCTTCCCTACTTACACACCTTACTTATCTTCCCCAAATGAGGATAGACACATGAAAGCTCATTCTTTTCCGTGCCCCTCCCTCTTGCTTTTCTTTCCTACTTCTTTCTTGATTTTAACTTCATCTCTTCCTTTCCCCAACTCTGAAGACTTATGTTAAATATTAATATATATTCTGGTATACCCTCTTTCTTGATTATACCTTTATCTTTCCTGTTCCTTAATTCTAAAGCCCTTTGGTTAAATATTAATATATACCGTGATGTGGCGGAACTAGTAATGGAACAGTAGAATTAAACTTTATAGTCCACAAACCCACATATGCAGGAAATGTAAATTTTTTCTATTTTTCTAGATTCAGAGTAATTTCTATTCCCGACCCAGGTATCAAACCCAGGTCTCCAGCATTGCAGACAGATTCTTTACTGTCTGAACCAATGCAGGCCCAATGGGTGGTACTAGTGGTAGAGAACCTGCCTGCCAATGCAGGAGACTCAAAGAGGTGTGGATTCGATCCCTGAGTTAGGAA